GCTGACACCCCAGTATGTGTCCGGGACATGACCCTCTGAGAGTCACCACAGTTGCATTATTTTATTTAGTATTTCCTTCCAGCATAGGATGTCCTTTGGGATGATTTAAATATTCTCCAACTCTCCCTTCAACTCTCTTAAAAACCAAGAAAATAAATGCTTAAACCACCAAATATAAATTACGGCAGGACATCGACTGTGTCGGTCCGAATGTTTCAGCGCGCTTCCTTTCAATGTTGCTGTGGTTGTCACTTCGGTCATGGTTTCGGAACAGTGCCTCACTCAGTGACAGCGGTGCATTTCCTCTGAGTCTCTGGGGGCCCTCTGCAGGGGTGGCTGTTTCCTACTTAACCATATTGAAGGCATTCCTATGATTACCCGGCGTGCCTTGTGTTGAATGCTATGTCGCCATGTCTGCTCCTGGCTCTCCCTTCACATAAGCTAAGCCAGTGGTTCTCAGACTTGAGCACAAATCAGAGTTGCAGAGAGAGCTTGTCACAAGCCAAAGCCAGCTCTGGCCCCACTGCTTCTAGTCCGGTAGGTCTGGGCTGGGGCCTGATGATTTACATAGCTTGAGAGTTCTCAGGTACCACCCTTCCCAAACCACTGAGCTATGTTCCATCTCACAGCTTGGTTTTAAATGCAGAAACCTCATCTGTAAAATGGTTTGCAATGGGTGGAAAGTGCGAAAGGATACATCCCAGCCTTCTAACCGGAATTGTTTTCGTGCCTGGGTTTTCACATACAAGCAGGAAAATGGCAGCAACAGGACCTCGCTTAGCGTTTGGAGAATCCTTGTAGCTCCATGGGGCTATGGGCACAGGGAGGGCATGGTGGATGGGACCTGGAGTTAGACAGGCTTGGGTTCAAATCCTGACTGTGTCGTTTCTTAGCTTCCACGACCATGGCCAGCTCTCAGCCTTCCTGCAACATGCACACAGCTCTTCCTCAGAACTACTGGTCCACAATCTGCAAACATTGTGAATTTTAAAAGAAATCATGCCTATCAGCTAGCTGCTTTGACTTGGGTAATTCTAGCACTCTGCTTTAGCTTCTCCAGGTTTGTAGGTCTTTAAAATGTGTCTAACATGAATATTCTGCAGGAAATAAGAAACCATGACGAGGCAAAGTCAGGGCCGAGGCAATGGTACTGAGTCTGGAAACACTTCTCTCTGCAGGGATTGACCTGGAGAACATTGTTTACTACAAGGACTGCACTCACTATTTTGTCATGACAGCCAAGAAGCAGAGCCTGCTCGACAAAGGCGTCATCATTAATGTACGTACCTATGATTTCCCAGCCATCTTTCCCTGGCGACCTGGGCTGGTAGCATCAGCAGGTCTGGGGCAGACATTGTCCTGCCGGGAACCAGGCACAGGGTGGAAGGTGCCTACTGCCCTCCTTCCCCTTGGGTTGCATGAGTGGTGGGTGAAGGAGTCCACACCAGTATGTACGTGTGGTGCTGGGAGACCTCCACCCAGGTGTGAATGTGGATCCACCGAGCCGTCTCCTTCCCCATGTCTCCTTCAGCCCCCTCTCTGGGAGGTCACATGTTCTTTGGAGGCAGATAGGGGCTCCTTTTCCTAGCAGGATGCAGAGATGCTTTCACTTGTAAACTTCCTGCCGTGGCCATCGTCACGGTGTGGAGGAAAGCTCACGACTGGAGTTGAATCTTGGCTCTGCCATGCGCTGACTCAGGAAAGCAGGCAAGCTGTCTATGCTTTCTGACCCTCAGTCCGCACATTTACAAGACAGGGGGAAGCGTTTCTGTGGGAGAGGGTTCCTGGGAAAGGCAAATAAAGAGATTTACGTAGAGCACCTAGCCCAGAGCCCAGATCGCGGTGGGCCTGCAGGCCTCGTTGAAGCACCTGCTTTGTCGTCCTGCTGTCCCCCTGCCCTCTGCTCCTGGCTGCGTGTCTTCACGCGCAAGCACAGAGCAGGATTGCAAGGGAGATGCACACAGGATGGTGGTCCCGAGACTGGATGCTTTGTCCAGATTTCAACCCTCCCATCCCTGCTGCTGTCTCTGCTACTGGATCCTCAAGATAAGGATCTTGCAGTTCCCGGCCAGCCTGCTCTCCGGGTATTGGCCTGCAGTCCAGGCAGCACGAGGCCATTCACTGGTGCTTGTCAGAGAAGAAGGCACCTATCTTGTGTTGGCAGCCAGCCGGCGGCATTAGTAACCCAGCCCTCCCCTGGGCCTCCTCTGCATTGGCTCAGGTCTTTGCTGAGAGTCCGGGTGGTGGACAGACGCTGTGAACAGGGGCTGGTGAAGCTGTGACACACACCAGCTGATGGGTGGGCACTGGCCTTAGGCTCTGGTGCCCCTCTGCTACCTAGTCAGCCTCAGGAGGAGGTGTCCCCATCTCTCCTCAGCCCCACAGGCATCTCTCCTGAAATGGCCTCCTTCGCCGTGTCAGATAGTGAAGGCCCACTCCGGGTACAGGTGCAATGGGCACCTGGGCAGAGGAGGGGCTGGGCAGTGAGGTAGGTTATGACTTGGGTTTTGTGTCTCACCAGCCAAGTCCCCTGGGATACTGGGTCATCCCAGGGCATGTGTGATGACATGTTCCTCTTGACAACTTGATGCCCTCGCAGATGTCAAAGCCCCTCCATGCTCTGTCTCGGACTCTCCATTGGGCATGAGTGAATGAAGACAGCTCGCTCTGTTCCCGAGGGGCTGTGGAGGAGCTAGGAGAAGACCCCTGCTCCTGCCTGGGACGCCCCCACCAGGTGTTGTCTTCACTGGATAGCATCTGCCTTCGCCTGTCACTTGGTCACCTTGGGGGTGCCTGGGGCGTGTTTGGAGGATAAGGAGGTGCATCGAAACCACTCTGTTCACTGTAACCCCAAATCATTCTACACCTTCAGGGGTGGGAGGTGATCTTGTGACTGTCGGGACAAGCATCAGAAAGGAACCCCAGTAATAGGAACGGGTTCTGGAGGGAGGCTCCTAGACAGTGCAGTTGGGGGATATGGCTTAGATGTGGCAATATTAGCATTTCGGGACAGGTTATTTGAAATCACGGCTGTTTAGAAAATTGAGAGAGGAAGTCACACCGGGGTAGGTGAGGAGGTTGTGTCTGTTAAAACCTTGGAAGTGCACTAGCTGGTGCCGTGGGTGAGTCAGGGTGAAATTCAGCGTGTGTGTATTGCATGTCTCAGGAGTCACCAGGGACAGAAGTTCCTGGTCGCTGAACACAGCACAGGCCAGGCATAGGGTAGGGATCTCAGTACACTGTCTCCTGTGACCCCCAGAGGGCTCAGTGAGGTCGATGGTGTCCTTTCCATTCTACAGATGAGAAAGCAGTCGGGAGAGTTAAATCGCCTGCCCAACGTTACATGCTCAGTCAACAGCAGAGGCGGAGTTTGGCCCATTACGCCTACTGAGCCGAAAGCCTATGTTCACCTCACAACAGGCCCCTCCTTCCCAGTGCGTCACACTTTTTGTGTCACCTTTGGGAAAGTTCTTTTTTTTTTTTTTTTCCCATTCCATAAAAGTGAAAGAGAGAGAGACAGAAGAAAAACAGGCACGCCTAATCGGTCCTTATGCCACAATTCATCCCCGGTTCCAGCTGGCCTAGATCACAGGTACACACACACACACACACAGGGTTCTCAGGGAGGTCTCTGGATGCCAATCCAGGACCTTTCCCTGCACGGCCAGTTGCATTACCACTATGCCTCCACCTGACCCAGGCAAGGTAGTCTTTTAGTTTAGTGTTTAATTCTTCTCTTCATTTCTTCCCTGCCTCCCCCCTCCTAGTTTTTGCCACTCACTGGAGAGAGAAAAGGAGAGAGAGAGAAAGGGAGAAAAGCACCCCCCATGGGGAATGGCCATACCACAATCCCTTCTTCTCCATCTACTTCCCCCGACCCCAGCTTTGGGTTTGGTGCACACACACGTGCCTGGAGTGTTTTCCAAGCTGCCAGGTCTGGGACTCCACACTGCCGTCCCTGTTGGATCCAGCTGCCGTAGCCACCACGCCACCATCTGCGCTTGATTTTAGTTCCTCGAACCACACAATGAGCAAATCGGACTGTGGGAAAATTCTGAATGTCCTTGCTTTACTCAATCCCCGCCTTCCTGTGGCTCTTTGTCAGTGTCCCTCCAGGATGGAAACCCTAGTCCTCTAAGCTCAGGGCTTTCCACCCCTAGCAGGGAGTCTGACAATTAATACTCCAAGAGCAAAACCAAGCCCTGAGCAGCCTCAGCATGTCGGGGGAACAGGGAGCTGATTCTGGAGAGAGAGTGTGAGAGTTACATTAGCACCCGTGTGCTTTCTGGGCTTGTGTGACTACTAAACAGAGTCCCTGAACCACCTTAGCTTGGCTCAATCCATTATAAATCATACTTAAAGACTCACTCTCGTGTCTTCTAATTATATTCAAAGCTATCCCAAGAACTAGCCTGATGAAATGCAGTTCTTGCTCACTGCAAAATCATTATCAAATACACCATTTATTACAACTCTGTGTTCTCTGTTGAAATTCCTACATGAGACGGATCTTCTAGCACTTAGTGCCAGGAAAAACTTGCCTTCTCTGAGGAATTTCTATGCTTCCTTCTTTCTGATAAAGAAAGTTCTGTGACAATCACGTTTCCCTTTTGCCATGGTTGCCAGGAAGCTCCCAGCCAACGCTGACGCTTAATCGCAACTGCGTGAACCCTCTCAGCTGGCTGATTGGTTTCCTCTTTATTCCCTTGGCCCTGGCTTTCCATCTGTGTTTTGATTAGCCTCACTGCGCAGACCCATTCCAAGTCCTCTTGCCAAGAGGTGGGTCTATTAGCCTGGAGAGGGACAAGTTACTGCAGCGTGATTTGGTCTTTCCCAGGACTACATGGACACCGAGATGCTGCTGTGTGCGGAGAACGTGAACCAGGACAGCCTGCTGTCCTATGCCCGGGAAGCTGCCGACTTTGCCACCAACTACCAGCTGCCGTCCTTAGACTTCGCCATGAACCACTACGGGCAGCCTGACGTGGCCATGTTCGACTTCACCTCCATGTATGCCTCTGAGAACGCGGCCTTGGTGCGCGAACGACAGGCGCACCAGCTGCTAGTGGCTCTTGTGGGTGACAGCTTGCTCGAGGTATGCCTGTGTGGAGAGACCCTCTCTCGCTCCATGAAACAGAGCGTGCGCTTATGTTCCGGTTGCCGACAGCTGCTGTCGGGAGCCGGGCAAGGTCAGGCTCTCCTTCAGCCGGCAGGACCCAGTCAAGCCCATCCTGGCCTCAGAGCCTGCCCTTTCTCTGACGTCGGAGGAGCCTGTGTGGATGTGGGGAACCTCCTCTTGCACCTCTCGGTTCTTCTAGGCTGACTTCACTGTTCAAGTCTGAAATTAGGCAGCCCTGGTGTGGCCCCCCGTTCGCCATGCTTCTCAGAATGTGTAAACCCTCAGTTGGGCCAACACTCCTTCCTTCCACGAGTGGCCCTTGGTGGCCTTTCAACATGGCGATCACATGGTGTACCAGAGAGGCGTGTGGGCTCCATAGTCTAGCTCCCTCTCATGGCCTCCCTGCTGTGTTTTTCCCAGAAAACCTGCAAGAGCAAAGACCATTAGATTAAATGCATGTTTTCAGAAGGGATCATTTTTACTTTTTGTATAAGCTTTGACCAAAACATGTTTATGTGTTTGTCCCAAGGTCAGAGCCAAATTCCAAGCCATGGTTCTGGTGCTCAGGGAACAGGTCAGGTAGCGCTCAGTGGGTTGCGTGGGCCCTTGGCACCATCCTGCATGGACTCTCCCCAGGCTGCCTGGCTGAGCCTCAGCACCTGCCCACATGGTCCCTGTCTCCCTGCCCAGTTTTGTCTCTCCCTGTGTCTTCCCAGCTCTCAGCTGGAGCCAAACTAGCCAGGTTGTTCTTCCCCCAGGCTCAGCCATTGCCGTAGCGCTCAGTGGGTTGCGTGGGCCCTTGGCACCATCCTGCATGGACTCTCCCCAGGCTGCCTGGCTGAGCCTCAGCACCTGCCCACATGGTCCCTGTCTCCCTGCCCAGTTTTGTCTCTCCCTGTGTCTTCCCAGCTCTCAGCTGGAGCCAAACTAGCCAGGTTGTTCTTCCCCAGGCTCAGCCATTGCCAGCTGTGTGCCCTTGCCCTTACCGTTCCCAATGGGGCCAGGTCGGAATCCCATCCATGGTCAGGATCCACATAAATGCAGCTTAGATGAGGCATAATCTGATTTCAAGTCCCTCTCCTGGGTGGGTACTTGTTTCCCCCGAGCCCTGAGGCAGTTTTGCTATCCCTGCATCCTAGCACCCTAAACTTGACTTTGCGCTGCAGAGATTTGTGTTTGTGGTGAATCCTTGTGGGTAGCAGGATCCCTGCCCTGTCACCTCTCTGTCCCTCCAGTGCCCTGCACAGGCCTGACCATCAGTGAGTGTGGGACTGGGTGGGATCGTCCGCTGGGAGACGTTAGGATCAGCCGGAACGTTGCCTGTTTTCTTTCGCAGCCGTTTTGGCCCATGGGCACGGGTTGTGCCCGCGGCTTCCTGGCAGCCTTCGATACAGCGTGGATGGTGAAGAGCTGGGACCAGGGTACCCCTCGTCTGGAGCTGCTAGCCGAAAGGTGAGTTTTGACAGTGGGGCTCCTGATTGGGAGTCAGGCTCAGAAGCCCACACAGAAGGGGATGACGGGCTGTCAGGCACCTCCCTAGCCCCTGAGCCCTCTTCCTGCCTTCACTCGTGTGGCCTGATCTGACTGACGGAGTCTCTGCAGGATATTTCCTCTGCCGTGATCTGCCACCTTCAATGACTTTTTCTGGTGGCCAAAGAGACCCTTTACATGGGGTGCCCCTAAAATTGAGTGCACAGGTGCCCAAGAGCCTGAGAGGTTTATTGAAGGGACTCTCCCAGGGCAGCACAGAGTGTCCCGCCTGGCTTGGGTCGGGTTCCCTGACCTCTCAGGCCTTTCCCACTGCTGAGGGCCTGGGCTTCTCCCAGCCCCTGCTGCTGGCTATGGCGCTGGACAGCTGGCGGACTGGGGGAGGCAGGGCTGGCAGGTAGAGACAGGCTTCTGAGGGTCTTGGGTGTGGAGGCCTGTGGTCATGGGGGCCAGGCCCTATGAGGCAGTGTGGCACAGTGGTGTTACAACACCACCACAGGTCACCATGCAGCCAGGCCTGCAGCCATGCCTTTTTCCTGGGAGCAGCCAGTGTGCCCACCTTCCGAGAGGAAGACCTCTTCTACCCTCCCCCTGCCTTCAGATCTCAAAAATCACTCGTGCCAGGCATTTCAGGGAGGGTGATACAAACCCAGGGAAGGAGGGTGGATGTGGAGAAAGGCCTGAGGGAGTGAGAGCCAGCCCTAACCCCTGGACCTCGCCTCTCTCCAGAGAAAGTCTGTACCGGCTATTACCTCAGACCACCCCAGAGAACATCAACAAGAACTTCGAGCAGTATACGCTGGACCCAGGGACACGGTACCCAAACCTGAACTCAAACTGTGTCAGGCCCCATCAGGTAAGGCTGCCCTGTGGCTCTGTCTGGATTCTCTGCACTGAACAGTGAGGAGTCAGGGAGGGTCACTTACAATCTTGGCACATTCTCGGGCCTGAGGCCTATTGGTCTGAGCTGGGACTAGCTAGGCCCTTTGTCCAGAGAAGTCACAGGAGTACAGCTGAGTCAGCAAGCTCTCTAGCCTACAGGAGAGGACTAGAATGCACATGGGTGTATGTATGCATGTGTGTGCATACACCTACATGTGTGAATTTGCCACTTTGCACACACCTTGCCGACCACCTCTCTCAAATAATCTACTTAGCCAGATGCCCTTTCTTCTTACCACCATGGCCCTGCCATCCATTTTTCCTGCCATTCACTCAGAAACACCCAACACCCAATAGAATGATGTGAATTTTTAAGTCAAGTATAAATGCTCACACTCAGTGTTCCTGTACTTGGCTCATTATGGAGGCTCACTGCATATGGCTCAGGTTGCTTGGGTTCCCTTGCACCCAACATCTGGGAAAACAGTGGTAGGCACTACATTGGGGGTGGGGCAGGTTTAGGGTCCCTGAGACTACAATTTGGGGGATGCTGATGGGCAGGTATGTGGTCTTTCTTGCTCATAGGTGAAGCATCTGTACATCACTAAGGAGCTGGACCGCTACCCTCTCGAGCGGCTGGGCTCAATAAGGAGATCCGTCAACCTCTCTAGGCGGGGTAAGTGGTCCTCCTGGGAGCCTGGCCAGGTCCCTGGAAGTGGCTTTGCAGGGAGGAGGCCTGATCATGGCCCTGGTGACCCAGGCTCTGCAGCCAGTCTGGCCCTGCCCTAGGACCTATGTGACCTTGGGTAGGCGCGTTCCCTCTCTGTACTTTATTGTCCTCATCTGTAAGACCAAGGAAGGCCAGCAGCTCCCGTAGAACCCTCATGAGAATAAGAGGCATTGATCTTTGTGGAGCAAACATCTAACTGTGGGGTTACATCACTGGGGCTTGTTTTTGTTTTCCTGCTGTTTTCAGTATGAGTGTCTTATCCCCCCCAACTGGATAACGAGCTCTGTGTGCATAACCTTTTTCCTGGTCTGGGCTAGCACAATGCTGGGCACAAGTCTGGTGCGCAACAGCAGGTGAAGGGATGATGAAATGAATAACCTCCCTTTGCCCAGGCCATGCTCCTGCTCCCTGGCTACCGGTGCCTGCCCAGACCTCACCTCCTCTCCTGTAGTAGGCAAGCACCCACCTTCGTCTGTACACCACACACCCTGCTGCTACAATAACCGTTTATTACAATCAATTATTTTCTGTTACACAAACACAGCAGGTTTTCTAGATTCTTGGCCACTGCACAGTCTTTTCTGTCTTCCTGGAGTGTGGCTTTCTATCTTATCAGCACCGTCACCTCCGCCATAATACTGTTCTTTACAGAGTTCTTCTCTCCAGGCAGACTTGGGGCAAACCTACTTATGTACCCCCAGGGCACCCTGTTTCTCTGTCACTGCAACAATGTCATTGTCACCTCCTCCTCTGTCTTTCCCGCTAGGTGAGCAGTTGCTGGCAGAGTCTGTGTTCCCAGCCTCTAACCTGAAGCCCCACCACAGCAGGTCTTAGGGACTCCATGGGGGGAGAGTGCGCTTCCTGTCTCAGCATCCTGCCCTCCCCCCAAACTCTTGTCTGGGCTTCCAGGCAGCCACCCCCAGGGGGCTGCACCTCTGTCAATGCCCCCAGCCAGGCAGCAAAGGAGAGGATTCCCAGGAGCTGCCTGAGAACCCCCAGAACTTCACTCTCTGTGCTATGCTCCCTTCCTGCAGAGTCAGACATCCGGCCCAACAAGCTCTTAACCTGGTGCCAACAGCAGACCGAGGGCTACCAGCATGTCAGCGTCACCGACCTGACCACGTCCTGGCGCAGCGGCCTGGCCCTGTGTGCCATCATCCACCGCTTCCGGCCTGAGCTGATGTGAGTCAGGGCCTGGGCTGGACCGCGGAGCAAGGGTAGCAAGGCGACTCTGGATGTGGAATCTCACAACTTGGTTCAGTAGTTCTCTTGACCTGATTTCAACTTGAGCTCTTTCTTAAATTGTTGTCTTTTCTCTTCACATTAATCACTCTGTCTGCAACATGTTTGATCTGTGTCCTTTTTTAAAAGGATTATTTATTTAATTTTATTTATTATTATCATTTTTTAGTTTGACCAGAGAGAGACAGAGAGAGAGAGAGCAAGTGAGAAAGCAAGCCACCAGGTCCAGGACTTGAACCATTGTCGAGACCATATGGGAGTTCAGTACTTCAGCCTTCATTGCCGGCCCAGTCTGTGTTCTTAATACATGAGGCTAAAAATTGGCCCAGGCTCAGTGATTGCACTCTGACCCCAGCCCTACCCATTGCCACACTGAGAAGGTCTGAGCATTTGTACCTTGGAGCTCTCCCTCAAGGGAGGAATTACTGGGGAGACCTAGTTCTATTAGCTGGTTGAAGGGGTTACAGGGAGAAGAATTGGGTTTGAGACTCAGATCCATTGGCTGTGGGCCACTGCCCAGCCACTTGTCTTCTCTGAGTTTTGGATTCTTCAGCTATAGATTGCGAGTCATGGCAGAGTCGATGGGAAGATTAGACTCTGGTGATGTCCATTTGCATTTAAATTCATAGCAGTAGAACCTCACATCCATGTACAATCCCTCAGAAAAGGCTGGAAGGGGGACCAGCAGTTAGCGTAATGGCTGTTGCTGGATTCCCATGTAGTCGACCGCGGTTCGAGCCCCAGACCCGGTGGCTTAAACTCACGCTGGGCACATGTGCGTGCATGCCCAAGATCCTGAGAGGAGAATGGAGGAGAAGGGATTGCGGCATGGCCATCCCCCCTGGGGGGTGATTTCTCGCTTTTGTCTCTCTGTCTCTCTCTGTCTGTCTGGCGAGCGCACGAGCACGATAGCAAAAACCTCTCCAAAAAAAGAAAAAAGAAAAGGCTGGAAGGAAACCAAAGATTTAGGGAATAAGTTTGCCTTGAGAAGAGGATGTAACTCTCACTTTTTAAATTTATGGTATACATAACTTTATTTATATTGTTAAGATTTTGCCATAGGGCATGTGTACACTCTGGAGAGAAACAGAGAGAGTGAAAAGGAAAGTGAGAAATCTCTCACTCAGGGTGGCGGGGGAGGGACAGTCATGCCGCAGTCCCTTCTCCATTCTCCTGCTGAGACTTTGGGCATGTATGCCACTGGCATGATTTTCAAGCCACCAGGTCCCAGACCGGAGCCGTGGTCAGCCATGTGGGAGTCCTGCACCTTAACCACTTATGCCACCTGCTACTCCAAGTCCATACTATTTTTGGAATTAAAAAGAAAAAAATAAGGGAAATATTTAAATCGCAACTTGTTCATAAGTTTCCCGAAGGTTTAAACCATTTTCTGATGGCTTCAGGCCAGGCAGCAATGACAGCATCATGGCTCCAGCCTGATTTGGTCCTGCGTGAGGGAATGGCGGTGTCAGCATCTTCTGGGGTGGTAGGGTGCGAATGGGGTGAGGGCCGGAGATGCTGCTCCTTTGCCCTCTCTCACACCTAGAGACACCTGGAAGTCACCCCTCAGTGCCCAGGCCATCCCCCCACCTCTTCTTCCTGAACTTCTCCACCTCGTTTTGACCCTCTAGCAACTTCGACTCTCTGAATGAAGACGAGGCTGTGGAGAACAACCAGCTGGCGTTCGACGTGGCTGAGCGTGAGTTTGGGATCCCTCCAGTGACCACTGGCAAAGAGATGGCATCCGCCCAGGAGCCCGACAAGCTCAGCATGGTTATGTACCTCTCCAAGTTCTACGAGCTCTTCAGGGGCACCCCACTGAGGCCTGTGGGTAAGCACTTCGAGAGGCTGTGCTTGGTCCCTAAGCTATCTCTGTCCGTGTCCCTGAGTTTGGCTGCCCCAACCCTGGTGTCATCTGTTCTGGGACTGATCAGTGTCTTCTTTTTGACTTCGAGGCCAAACACAGGCAGCACCACCTACCCAGACCCAGTGTGTGTAGGTGGGTCTGTGGTAAGGTACCACGTGGGGCTCACCTGCTCCGTCACAAAAGCGGTCACCGATCGAGTTCCCTCACCTCTCTGACCAGGCCACTCACGTCTGCGGTGTGGGGGGAGGGAATTATTTTAGAGGGTCCTTGTTATAATGACACCCCCCTGGTTACAAATACTTCCTGGACCCAGGATCCAAATGTCAGCGGTGCTTTTATTGCCTAACAGATTCTTGGCGCAAAAACTATGGAGAAAATGCTGACCTCAGCCTGGCCAAATCTTCCATTTCTAATAACTATCTCAACCTCACCTTTCCAAGAAAGAGGACCCCACGAGTAAGTGTCGACCTGCTCTTTGTTTTCGTCCTCATTGTCCGTGGCTGGGCTCTGGGCAGGGAGACTGTCCTATTCTCTGTTTATGCTGATTAATTACCCAGATCCAGTGCAGGAAAGATGGGAGTAAAACTCAGCGTAGGAACTGCTTTGGCAAGTTCTCCTTGGCACTGGGTAGCTGGCGTCAGTGATTTCAAGGCTCTGGACTCCTACATGGCTGACTGCGGTTTGAGTCCCGGGCCTGACAGCTTAAACATCACACTGGGATCATGTGTATGCATGCCCTAAGTTCCAAGAGGAGAATGGAGGAGAAGGGGTTGTGTGTGGCCATCCCCCCGGGGATGATTTCTCACTTTTCCTCCCTCTGTCTCTCTCCGGTGAGCACACACATCCTGTGTCAAAAGCCTTAAAAAAACAAAAATAAATAAAAATAAAAAGTGGTTACAGGAAGGGCATGGGAGAGGGCAGAGAGGACATGCTGGTGAGTGTTTATAAGATTAGCTCTGCCTGTTGAAGAGTGGGGACGGGACAGCTCTCACTTGGCTAAGCAGTGTGGATCGGGGGTGAGGACTGCTAGTCGTGTGCTGGCAGAGGCGTGTGGGGGCGATGCCGTGTGTTAAACGATCTGTGCTGTTCGTCTTATTTACTCACTTGCCAAATGTCTACCCGGTCCTACTCCGTGCAACTTCAGGGCTGTAGTTTCTGTCTGTTCTTAATGACAGGACAAAATATACAGACACGAGTACTATGTGGACCTCACCTTTGAGGAGTTCAGAGCCTACTAAAGAGGTTCCCAGACTTTCCTGAGTTAGGGAACCCTCTGTGTCTCTGTAACTTTCCTCACGGTGCTCTCGATCAAGATAAATACCTAAAATTCTGTATGTTAATTACTGGGTTGTCAGGGAAGTCATGACACATTTTTCTATAGAAAAACAGAAAAATACCTCGTGGCTTTCCTGACAACCTAATAGTTAAGTCCAAATCACTTAGTAGTATTTTGCAAGGTGTCAGATAGACATCACTGTGTTTCCCAGGAAAATGTAAAATGTCTTGTGGCTCCTCTGGGAGTCCACTGTGGTGCCACAGGGTACCTTGGTACACCGTTTGAAAGCCACAGGCCCAATGAGCAATGACAATTTCGCTTGAATAATAACCTCTCCGTGGGAAGTATAATATACATTCTATTTAACGTGCCCATTTTACCGATAGAAATGGAGGCCCAGAGAGGCGGAGTGCCTTGTTCGCGGTCACACCCACTTAGTTGCGACACATTGCTTTCATCCCTACGCCGCCACCACGCTTCCTCCACTCCTGCTCAGGGCATGCAGAAGTGATGTGAGTTTGACCTTGGAGTCTCATTGGAAAGATAAGCTACCAGGAAAATAGGGTGAAGACCAAGAGCCCGTATCAGAACCTTGGAGAGCAAGGGAATTTAAGGGACTGGCAGAGGTAGAGTAGCCAGTGGAAAGAAGAAGGGGAAGGAGCCGTTGGAAAGCCAGGAGAATTTTCTACCGCATGGATCCAGGGGACAATGGTAGACAGCAGGGACGCCAGGCACAATCAGGGCTGAGGAGGGACCATGGGTTGGAAGGTTGGGAACTGTCAGGACAGCAGGCGAATGTGAGGACTGAGACCAGGTGGAGAAGTTGTGAGGTGGTCCATGAGAGTAGAGGAGAGAAGAGGGGTCAAGGAGACTGGGGCCAGAGCAAGGTCCCTCGCTGGGGCAGGAGTAGGGGCACCTTGGGACAGGGGTAAGGACCTCACCCAGAACTTGCTGCCCCCTCCCAAATGGCAGGGCATCCTCCACTGACACAGCAGCAAACCGCAGGCCTCAATGTGTCTCTGAGTCTCTCCAGATCGCCGACAACCTCTCCACCCCAGCCAGTCCTGCCTTGTCATGCCAGGCTTCCACCAGGGTGGGGCAGGGCCTGCGGCTTCTTTTCTTTCCCCAGCTGTGTGAGCCGAGGTCACTTTTTCCACTGCACCCTGGGCTCCCTGCTCCCTGGAATGTCAGTGTGGCAGCAGCTGTGTGCTAACTCTGGTGGGGATCCTCAAAACCCCTACTCCTCCCTGCCTACAGGAAGGCATAGGCTGGGGAGGCAGGGCTGGGGAGGGAAAGTGTGCAGGTCTGCAGGGCTTCCCTGGGAGCAGCCCAAGAAGCTGTTTCTGGCTATTTTCCTCCTCTGCTTTCTGAGCTGCCCTGACTTGGAGGCATGTGGCAGGGGTTGGAGAGGGGAGCTGCAATGCCCACTCTGTGCCCCACTGAGCCAACGCTATCTTCTGGAGCCCAGTCATCAGCTTGGTCTACCAAGAAGACCAGCCAGTTTTCTTTGAAGCCTGTGGACCCCAGTTTTAGGCTGCTCTGTTCCAAGAAGCCAGTGCAGTCTCTCCGGAAGCTCTCCGAGCTACACGTTTACTGCTCTTCTCCATTCTCTGTCACTCCCACCACTTAGTCCAGAGGGGACAGCGAAGGACGTTTAACCCTTTCACTGGCCAGACCTCTGTTTATAGAGTGACCGAATGGAAACACCCCAGCCAGCACTGGTAGGACATGGAGAGAAGGATGGTCAAGAGTTAGGGGTCAACAATACAGCCAGGCCCTTCAGGGGCTGAGGCTCAGTCCTTGTCCCTCTGACTCTATTGGGAAATGCTCTGCCTGGCCCATTTTAAACCATGCCTAGTCTCCTCTGCTATGTGTCCACTGGCTGCCCATATTGAGAGGGTTTAAAACACACAGACCTGATTTCTCCCACATCCCTATTTAGGGCCTAAAATTTGCCCTACTCTTTGGGTAGGTAGAGGTTTGACCATTGAAGTAAGTGCCTGCCATGGGCACCGTTTGTCCTCCTCTCTCTGCTCAACCAACTGAGTGCATCATAGTGAAGCCACCAGACACTCTGCCTCGGCTAGAACTGAAATACCCCAACATGTTGTCTGCCCACCACTCAGTGCCAGCACTGTGACTGGGACCACATGGGAAGTCCCTCCTCCCACTGTGCCATATGTTGTCTTGTTGTATCTGGAGACTCATTGGTTTAGGGATCCTCTTCCAATGCTCTGTGGCCTTAATATTTCTTATGGGCAAAGAGTGCTGAGTTTCACTCCAGTGTGGATGTGCACAGACCTGTGTCTGCACACAGACTGAAATCCACATACACATCTTCTCGGTATACAGAGGCTCCACCACAGTTACACCAAGATGGCAGTACAACTAGACACGCAACCTCCAATGTTCTAGCTCTTGTGTTCTTACGGGGCAGAGATGCAGGGCAGGCTGTGCTTACACATTTCCACACTTTAGCGTGTGCACACACATGCTATCTGCACATGTAGGTTCATCTACATGCAGTCTTCCTCCTTGCCCATCCCTAGCCTCCTCCCCAACTTCCAGAAGACCGTCTTACTATGAGAATTGAGCAAGGTATAAATATTCATGTCCCATGTGGCATCTTTTTTTTGTTTGTTTGTTTGTTTTTTGGTTTTTGCTATAGGGCGCGTGCACTTGCCAGAAAGACAGAAAGAGACAGAGAGAAAGCGAGGAATCACCCCCAAGGGGGGATGGTCACGCCGCAGTCCCTTCTCCTCCATTCTCCTCTCAGGATCTTGGGCACGCACGCACACGCGCCCAGCATGAGTTTAAGCCACCGGGTCCGGGACTTGAGCTGCGGTCGACTACATGGGAGTCCAGCAACATAGCCATTACGCTAACTGCTGGTCCCTCCCATGTGGCATCTTAATCTGAAGAAGAGTCCTTGGTTCTCTGCTGAGCCAGTCTTAAGAACAGTCTTCCTTTCAAATATAGGCATTAAATTCTTTTTGTTTCAACTTATGGAGAACCTTAAAATTATGCAAGCTGGGACCAGCAGATGGTATAATCGTTATGTGGCTGGACTCTCACATGGCTGACCACACAGTTTGAGTCTCAGACAGTAGCTTGAAAAACATGGCAGGGGCATGTGCGTGTATGTGCTCAAAAATCTCAAAAAGAGGGAGACATGGAAGAGACGGACTGTGGCAATGACCATGTTACACTGGGGGGAGCAGAGGGCACTGTCCCAGACTCGGCCACTTGCTTTCTCACTCACCACTTTCCCTCTCTCTGTTTCTCTGTTTTTTGTTTTGTTTTGGTTTTTTTTTGGTTTTTTGTTTTGTTTTCTTTTTTCTTTTTTTTTTTTTTTTTTGAGAGGTTTTTGGTATAGGGTGCATGCACTTGCCAGAAAGACAGAGACAGAGAGACAGAAAGTGAGAAATCACCCCCCTGAAGGGATGGCCACACTGCAATGCCTTCTCCTCCATTCTCTTCTCTGGATCTTGGGCACGCACGCATACACACCTGGCATGAGTTTAAGCCACTGGGTTTGGAACTTGGACCACAGTTGACTACATGGGAGTCCAGCGACACAGCCATTACACCAACTGCTGGTCCCCCTCCTGAAAGATTTGAGGTCTTCTTAAGTGCTGCAGGCTACTTTTCCCAGAATGCCTTGTGTAAGCCCTGGATACCATGGCTGGCTGGGATCTGCACAGGCTCTGGCTGTTTAAACAGTCCCACCCTGGGCTGTTGAGTGCAAAAGAGAGAGTAAGATGTGTTGTTCTTTGGAGGAAAAGCCAAGTCCTCACTTAAGGTGGAAATAAAAGCACAACAGAAACCTTACGATTATGCATGAAGTGTTCTTGTCGAGGAGGACATGCTGTACTTTCCCAGACTCCCATCCCGGCCAGAGCGGCATTCATGGGCTATGGAGCCGGGAGCCCAGACAGCCTGGGCCTCTACGACCCGACATTGTTGCAAATAAGGTCATCTGTTTCTTTTGGTGTTTGCCCAAGCTTTGGGGTTGAAATAATTTCCATTCACAGAATAATGATTTATTAGAAGCTGAGGAAAATGTGGAAGGGAAGGCAGGGCTCTTTGATCTCTGGTTTTGTGCTGCCTGGGTCAAATTTTTGAACAAATATCAATGACTAAACTGTGGTTGATCTTGTCTTTTCAAAAAAAAAAAAAAATGGTGCTGGTAAACAGAGGTGGGGGCAGGGAAAGCAGGTGTTAGTGTTGGAGGCAAGGGCATGCCAAGGTACCCCGAGTAATAATTATTTCAGAACAACCAAGAGGTAAAAGATCTGCCTGTGATTGGATAAAATTAGGATTCATGGATCTGACTGGACAATAGGCCAGAACTTGACCAGATGAGTGCAGCCCTTCTCAGTCCATCCTGTAGAGGGATTCTCTGTGTATATAGGGGGCTCCCTGCAGAAGGGACACATAGACGGGGGTACATGGCTTCATGGTCCTAGGGAGCTAGCTATTTACAGAAAGCCTCAGGGACTGGACTTGTGGTAGATGGGGAAGCACAGGTAGACACGAGCCCAGTGTTGGGGATAGACTTACCCAGTAGGGTGCAGAGAAAATGCCAGAATCAGCCCCTACCTCCACCCCAGCCCATAGCATCCAGTCAACCTGTGCAACCCCCTCATTTCCATACCAGATAAGCCTGACAGCGGAGGTGCTCATGGGTAGCCCTTGCAGGAGCATTGCAACGTCCAGATTCAGGCAGCGGAGAGTGGGCTGCGAGGGGTTATCAGTGGGGCGGTCATGGCAAACTGGAATACTTTTGAGCGTGAAAGGGGACACTATTAATTAATAATTATGCTGGGGGAGGAAGACAGCTGTCCCAGCTCAATCAGAGCTGTCCCAAGCAAACTAGACTCTGTGGTCACTCTAGTCATTGGGCTGTATCCAGTGCTTATTAGAAGTTAATAGAACATTTACTAGTAGCTGTGATGATGACCAAATGCAGACTTAATTTTGCCATTAAATCCCTACACAGCTCAAGTGGGCCCTGAGAATCCCTGGAAAAGGGACCAGTGTCTCCTCTCTCTAGAAGGAGGCTCCTAGGGTGCAGAGAAAAACACATGTGGTCTCCATAAGGTAATACACTGAGAAGCCTGAGCAGACCTGGCTGTGACCTTGGTTGAGTCTCTAAATTGCTCCTATGCCAACATCACATTGCAGTGGAGATGATCCCTGCCCTAAAATATCCCAGGGATTCCTTTTGTCATGGGATGTCTCAAACCCTTTGTTTCCCCAGGTGGAGGAAGGCTCTCCCCACTGTGTCTGAGTGACGCAGTTGTCACAGTGTGAGATAACTTGTTACCGCCTCTGCCTGCAGGCTGCCAGGTGTTTGCAGGCAGGGCTATATCTCCACTGCCAGCTCAGGGGTGTTCATGGAATTGAAGCCCTTGGGCCCGTGGGCTCACCACGCTCTTTTGCCCGTTGTAGGTGGACGGTCACACTGAAGAGAGTGACATGAGCAAACGGAGACGGACAGGCTTCAGTAACCTGGACGAGGTTTGTGAGTCAGGGTTCGCTTCACAGGCTCCTCTGCAGACCACCAGTGCCCACACAGCTGCCCCAGCCGGCCTCCCTTTCCTCTGCCATGAATCAGTGGGTTCCCATTGGCTTGGTGGATAAACAGTCAAGGGTCTGGTCCTCGCCTCACCCTCACAAACTGTGGAACCTTGAGAATCGTAACCTCCTAGGGTGTGGTTCATGTCTGTAAGATGAGATGGTACAGCTGAAATACATGAAACTGCCGGATTCTTAAAAATTAACAAGGCGATGTATATAATGTGCTATCTGCCACATACATTAATCCATATTTAATCACTATGAATAGTAAGTTGTAACGAGGCATGAGCAGTTCCACTCTTCTAGTCATACTCCTCAATTTCTTCTGGGTTTTTAGTATGCAAAGCAAATGTCCCCCTGCCAACGGGTGCCACCTTCTGGGGAAAGAGAAAACTACAGGCTAGTTTTTTTGGCCAAAGGAAAGAATTCATTTCTCATCTGCTTCTGAAAATTTGGCCAGTAGAAAAAGTATCAGTTCCTACTTCCCCGAGCAACAGTTTAAAGAGACCCAAGATACACACTTTATTCAAAAGAAAGCTGTTCTAATTCCAAAAAGGCAAGCACACCTATTGTCAAGGTGGTGTCGGCTTCAGCCGGCCTCCTGGCTGATGTCAAAATGATGACTTAGCGGCGTGTGGGACCGTGTAGATGATCCATTGATACCCAGCGCATAGGATTAGAAGACATGTGTTCTATTCTACATGGTTGAATTGGTTTGATTGCTGCACGTCTTCCTGACTTTGCTGTTTGTGCCAGGGACTTGCTCCATCTCAACAGTGAACTTTATAATAAACAGAGCCACGAGGCCCACCCTGGGGGACTGCAGCTGCCTCCTACTCACCCCATTTTCTGGAACAGTCAAAGACAAGCATCGATAAAGGAAACCTGGAGTATAGTTCACATCTTAAAATGTGAATAAATTGGGAGCAGATGACATAATGGTTACTTTGCTGAACTCCACGTAGTTGACTGTGGCTCGAGTCCCAGACAGGCCTGGTGGCTTAAAACTCATGCCTGGTGCTTGCGCACGTGTGCCCAAGATCCCACCAGGAGAATGGACGAGAAGGGATTGTGGCGTGGCCATCCCCTCGGGGGTGGGGGGTGTTCTCACTTTCTGTCTCTCTGTCTCTCTGTGTGTCTCTGGCTAGTGCACACACCTATAGCAAAAATCTCTCTCTAAAAAAAAATAATAAAAGTGAATGTATTTACTCTATCCCATGAGTTCAAATCACCCTTGGCCAAAACTTTTCTAGAGCTGCTTGAGGTGCTCTCATCAAAGCTGTTACCTCCCCACCTCTCAGCTGTGATGTGAGCAAGAGGAGTGAGCAGGGAGCTAGTTAAGAGGAAGAAGCAGAGACTGGGTCATGGCTGCTGGAGGCATGTCCCGTTGCCCAGGTTACGGCTGTCCTGTTTCCCAGCGTTACCCCTGCAGGGTCTGCAAGGTGGAGAGCCAGCACCTGCTTCACTCCTACTTCCTCCAGAGAAGACTCTCTCGAGGACACTTGGTCCCCAGGGAAATCTTTTCCTGCCTTTCATCCCTGGCTTATCTGAGGGGGTGTGGGTGTTGCTTCTGCTGCTGGCAGCCAAGAGCGGAGTGGGAAGAAAATCTGGCTTGCATCTATCTTCCCCTTCTGAGATGGCTCTGGTCTCCTCAGCCTTAACAAAGTAACGATTCTTTCTGAATTCTCACTACTCCAAGTGTGGTCCAAGATCCAGCAGCATCAGCACCATCCGGGAGCTTGCCCCTACCCCCAACTACCTCCCAGAAACCTGCTGAAATGCAATCCGCCTTTGCAGATCCATCAGTTCCCAAGTGATCCATGTGCGCGTTAGTGTCTGAGAAGTGCTGGCCCAGATGGCCCACTGCCCCGCTGACTTCGGACTTGTACAAACAGCAGTTGCTGCAGCAAGCACGCCCTCTTCTCACCGAGCCGGCATTAATGTGCTCGGTCACATTTCATACCTCGAAGCAGGAAGTGCCTCTTTGCTCCGTGTTTGTCCAACACTTCAAGTTGGCAGCACATACAGGGTTCCCACAGCCTGCTACCTTAGAGGTCTTTTTAAATAACTGATGATAACTTGCCTCTTCCCATGAGTTTCTTCTTTATTTTTAAATTTAACTTAATTTGCTAGATTAATTTGCTCTCTCATGCACACACAAGAGAGAGATAGAGAAAAGGAGGGGGAGGGAAAGAAATCTCCTCCCATGGGGCATAGTCACGCCTCTATTCCTTCTCTTCCATGTCTCCTTCCTTTCAAGATTTCGGGCATGTATGCACACACACCCAGCATGTTTCTCAAGCCTCCATGTTTGGGGTTCGAACCATGCAGTTGGACACGTGGTACCGAGTTGTCTTAACCATTAAGTCACCAGCTGGCCTGAGTTTCTTCTCAATGAATGCATCTTTGTTGTCTTGAGAATGACTAGCCCTGTGAGGGAGATTCGTTGTCTCTTCGGGAAAGTTTACTGCCCCTTTGACATGGCAGGCCCATAGTACTGGGAACAGATGTTCTTATTGAACACCGATAGTTTTCACTTTTTTATTGTTAGCACATGAGGGAGAAAGATCTGATATGATATGAAGCTTCATCTTATAAAACAGCAGCACCAGTGGTCAGATCTGTGTCACCACACCAGTAGGGTAGAATGTGAAGGGGGCTTCACCTCCAGGGCATCCTTCCCTCAAACCTACAACCCCGATCTGATCAAGAGAAGAAATCAGACGATCCAGACTGAGAGGTTTTCTATAAAATAGCTGTCCAGGACCCTTTGAAGTGTCACGGTCATGAAAGGCAAGGAAAGGTGTTACAGATTGGAGGAGGCCAACAAGACATGGTGATTGGAAGCAGTGTGAGAGTCCAAATTGAAACTTGGAACAAAAAAAGGACGCGTGGAGGAAAACTGGAAAAATTCTATTTAGTCTATAACTTAATTCTTGGTCTCTCACCGGTGTTACTCTCTCGGTTTTGTTTACAGCATCATGTTTATTCCAGATGTTGAGAGCAGTAGCAGTTGGGTGAGGGGTGTGGGAAACAATCCGCTTCTCCACAACTTTCATACAAATCTAAAATTATTTTTGAGAGATTTTTTGCTATAGGGTACATGCACTTGCCAGAGAGACAGAGAGACAGAGAGACAGAAAGTAAGAAATCGCCTTCCCCCTCCCCCCAGGGAAGATGGACAACTTCACAGTCCATTCTCCTCTTGGGATGTTGGGCGCACACACATGCTCCTGGCATTTCAAGTCGCCAGGTCTTGGACTTGAACCGTGGTCCACTATGTGGGAGTCCAGCACTGTAACCACTATGCCTTCTGCTGGTCCCAATCTAAAATTACTTCTAAGTTTAAACTTAAAAAGAAAGAGAAGGAAGGAAGGAAGGAAGGAGGGAGGGAGGGAGGGAAGGAAGGAAGGAAGGAGGGAGGTTTTTTGGGAGGGAAGGAAGGAAGGAAGGAAGGAAGGAAGGAAGGAAGGAAGGAAGGAAGGAAGGAAGGAAACTACCAAAAACAGAGCATAACTGGTTGAAATTGAGGAAGAGCTACAGAGGAGGGAAGGAGCTCAGAGTCTGTGCATCGTCTGATCGACACCCCCGTGCTCCATTTATCCCCTGCCCCTCACCTCTTCTCAGCTACAGGTACATTTTGAAAACTGTCTTGCTCAACACCTCACTCTTGTATTGCATTTTTGCAACGACCATGTGAGGTGGAGTACTGCTTCCATTTTACAGAGGAGGAGACTTCAGGGGAGTGCATTGCCAAGGGCTGGGAAGTGAAAGAATCAGAATTCAGGCCCTGACTGACTGGCTTTCAAGCCCGGGAGTGAAAGTCCTGTGGAAAAACCTCTCTCTCCCATGAGCACTCCCCCAGGTAGCCTCGCTCCCTCTGCCTCACCTCCTCAAACCTTGGAAGGCGTCCTTCAGGAAACTAGTCCCAGGTCCTGATATCTGGATCCCAGGAGCCAATGACCCATGCTGTTTTGATCTTTGCAGCCTTCGTCCTTCTCCAGCCGGAGCTTGGGCTCCCAAGAGAGCGGCAGCAGTAAGGAAGGTGGCAGTCAGAACAAAGTCAAGTCCATGGCAAGCCAGCTGCAGGCCAAGTTTGAGGAGAGCACTCGGAACCCCTCGTTGCTAAAGCAGGTAAGTCATCTCAGCCGCTCACTGGACCTGCCTTTCTGGTGACCAGAACCTGCTAAGAAGTCAGCAGAGATGTTCAGGCTAGTGACCGAGTGCAGGGATTCCAACCAAGCCCAGTGATAGTGAGACTCCAGCTTCGTCCACACCAAGACTTGGGAATCTTTTCTCTAAGAGATCAGATGGCAAACTTTTCATGCTTTGGAAGTCATACTGTCTCTGTTGATACTAAGCAGCACTCACTGTGGCACAAAAGCAGGTGTAGGCAACAAGCAAATGAGTGTGATTGTGTCCCAATAAAACTTTATTTATAACAGGCAAGGGAGGGCCACCTTTAGCCCACAGGCTATAGTTGTCTTTTCAAGTTTTTGCCACAGTTGCGTACACTCACTGCAGAGAGAGAGACAGAGAGATATGGAGTGAGGGAAAGTGAGAAATAACCCCCCAGGGGGACAGCCACGCCACAGTCCCTTCTCCTCCATTCTTCTCTTGGGATTTTGGGTACGCACGCACACGCACACGCACCCGATGTGATACTCCAGCTGCCAGGTCCAGGACTCGGAGTGCAGCACCTCCACCACTGTGCCACCTGCTGGCACATGGGCTACAATTTTCTGATGTCTGTTCTGCATTAA